GTTATTGAAAAGGCTGAGGCAGAAGGAATCGCTTGAGCCCAGGAGTTTTGAGGATGCCAATGAGCTATGGAGCATACCACTCGACTCCACAGCCTGAGGCAAGCAGATGTGGAGAACCTCCCCAATCCTTTTAAAAAAAAAACAAAAAGGAACACATAAAAACCTTGAAAAGGCAACGCCTGGCAAGGTCATGTGAAGAGGAAATTATTTTGCAGTACATATTCCAAACAACAAAATGAAATTTGGTTATCTAGAATTTCCCATAAAACCAATAAAAAACCCAACTGAAAAGTAGACTAAAGATGAAGAATAAGTATTTCTTTTTTTTTTTTTTTTGAAGGACCGGCGGGTCTCACTTTGTTGCCCCAGGGGCTAGAGTGAGTGGCCCGTGGGCCCTCACTTCAGCCTAAGCTCACAAGCAACACAGGGCTCAGCCGATCCCTCTCTGCCTCAGCCCTCCTGAATCAGCCGGGACTACAGGCCACGCGCTCAAACCATGCCTGGCTGAATTTTTTTTTTGTATATATATTTTTAGTTGGTCAATTAATTTCTATTTTTAGTAGAGACAGGGTCTCGCTCAGGCTGGCTTCGAACTCCTGACCTTGAGCAATCTGCCCGCCTCGGCATCCTGGAGTGCTAGGATTACAGGCGTGAGCCACCGCGCCCGGCCCAGCCTCCATTTTTGATATGTGTGTACTGACAGCGTTAGCTCCCACTCCTCCTTCTCCCCACTTTTCCCCACATCTGTGCAACTGGATAAGAAGGCCACATGCTCTCTCCCTAGGCATCAGTGGGGAAGTTTAAACCATGCAAGCTCTGGGCTGCCTGGAAACCCTCATCCTGGCCCCACGCCCGAGCCACCACATAAACCAAAGCCACCTGCCTCTTCCTTCATTCACTTAAGGCAAACGGGCCAGCTTAAATGCCTTCCCAGCTCCCTACAGAAACCTCATCATGTAATAGATATTGTCATATTCTCTGGAATGCATATGGTGTCATCAATATCAGCATCCAAACTAATTTTGGGTAGGAGGGTTGATCCTACCCTACATGGGGCAACTGCAAGACACCTAGCAATTCTCCCAGTTACAAACCAACAGAAATGCATGCACATGAGCAACAAAAATATGCACAAGAATGTTCACAAGAGCATTATTCATAACAGCCCAAAACTTGAAACAAGTCTTATTTTATCTGTCAGTAATACTACAGATAAACAAACAGTGGTTATATTCCTATAATACACAACTATACAGCTGGACATGTTCTGTTTCTTAATCTGATTGGTAATTACATAGGTATGCTCACTTTGTGAAATTCGTTGAACTGTATGTTTATGATTTGTGCAATTTTTATATGTATGTTATACTTCAACATTTGAAAACAAACAAAGATTAAGAAATTAGGCCAGGCGCGGTGGCTCACACCTGTAATCTTAGCACTCTGGGAGGCAGAGGCGGGCAGATTGCTCGAGGTCAGGAGTTCAAAACCAGCCTGAGCAAGAGCAAAACCCCGTCTCTACTATAAATAGAAAGAAATTAATTGGCCAACTAATATATATACCGACAAATTAACTGGCGATGCGGTCGGCCATCGCTGTAGCTCACTACCTCAGGAGGCCGAGCAGGGAGGACCGCTTGAGCCAGGGCGCTTTCGCAGTTCTGTGAGCTAGGCTCCCGCAGCACGGCACTCATCTAGCCCGGCAACAAAGCGAGCTCCGCGTCTCAAAAAAAACAAAAGAAAAAAGAAAGAAATTAGAGAAAAGATTTGGCATAAGCCAGAACATCACTAGAGATCTTCTTTGCCACGTTGACGCACTATAACCGAGACATTCTTTTCTTTTCGAGACCAGCATCCTTACTTCGTTGCCATGCCTAACGTGACGTGCCGTGCTCAGCCCTAAGCTACAGCACCTCAGACCACTCCCTTGCGGCTCCAAGTGATCCTCCTGCCTCAGCCTCTGGAGTAGCCTCTGGGACTACAGGCATGCGCCACCATGCCCAGCTAATCTTTTCTATATATATTAGTTCGCCAATTAATTTCTTTCTATTTATAGTAGAGACGGGGTCTCACTCTTGCTCAGGCTGGTTTCGAACTCCTGACCTTGAGCAATCTGTCTCCCTTGGCCTCCCAGGGAGCTAGGATTACAGACGTGAGCCACCGCACCAGGCCCAAGGGACAATTCTATAATCACAAACTCTGTGGCTTTACATGGCATCCTGTAAGATGTTGGGAAGACAAAAATCCACAGTTACCTCCTCAAAAAATACTATGTTCCTGCTATGTACCTGGCACCACTGATGCCCCAGGTACTGGATAGACAGTGGTGAAGGACACAGACCAAGTCCCTGCCAAAAAGAGAGATAGGTCAAGAGATGATCTCTAACAAGAGAATATTAGAAGACGGGAGCACTGAGCGAATTCTTCTTTGATACGCACACTAATATCCTTAAATAACCGCTTTTCTAAACTTTCTGCCTTCTTTCTCCCTCCAGGAGAATTCACACTCCTACTTAATTGATAATACATGAGGGGTTGCGAACATTGTAGAAGTTAAATATTGGCATACTACACACACAATACTTATTCAAAGTTTTGTTCAATTTTGGTTAAAATTCTTTTTTTTTTTTTTTTTTGTCTCACTGATTAATTTAAAAGGTACCTTTCTCAATTCTGAAATTCTTCTCTTTCTCTTTGGTGTTAATTCTATTGTTAAAGGATTTAAGTTTTTATTATATTAAACCCTACTAGATTCCTTAAATATTTAATTATAGTTTTACTGTTAAAAGGTTCTCTAACAA